TAGAGGTAGTAAATATTTTACTAGTCTAGATCTAGTTCAAGGATACCTGCAAATTCCGATTGAAGAATCATCCAAGGTGAAAACAGCTTTCCTTACTTCGACAAACCAATACCAATTCGAGGTGATGCCTTTTGGCCTTACCAATGCCCCCGCGACATTCCAGCGCATGATGAATAAAATTTTTACCGGATTAATTGGCCAATACATCGTTATTTACCTGGATGATATAAACATCCATAGCCGGACATTTCAGGAACACCTTGAGCATTTAGAAACAGTTTTACAAAGATTAACGGCAGCAGGACTAAAACTTAAACCATCAAAGTGCAACTTTGGACACCGTGAAGTAGAATTTTGGGACATCTTGTCAATCCAGACGGCATATTTCCCAATCCCAAAAGAGTAGAAGCCATACAAAACTACCAAGCCCCGACAACCAGGAAACAACTTCGAGGATTTATCGGGATGGTCGGATATAGCAAGTTTATCCCGAACCTCGCTACAATATCGGCACCCTTACATCAACTGACCTGCAAAGACACACCTTTCCAGTGGACAGAAACACAGCAGAAAGCTTTTGAAACATTGAAGCGAGCATTAACAACGAAACCCATTCTGGCACATTTCGACCGGAATTTACGGCACATAGTGGAGACGGACGCCAGTGGTGTTGGACTCGGTGCTGTTCTACACCAAGTCGAAAACGACGGAAGGAAAACGGTCATCACCTACGCGAGTAAAGCTTTATCAAAATCCGAACGGAACTACAGCGCCACGGAACAGGAATTATTAGCAGTAGTGTGGGCACTCGACAAGTTTCGCCCATATATAGGCGATCCAAATAGAACTTTTGAAGTTATAACGGACCACAATGCTCTGCGAGGACTTATAAACGCAAAGAATCTTACAGGACGTCACGCACGTTGGATTTTAAGGTTACGGCAGTATAATTTTAATATCGGATACAGAGCCGGAAAAGAGAACGTTGTCGCCGATTGCATGTCAAGATATCCTTTCGACAATTCCAACACGCCTAAAAATCTGAAATTTGCCAACCCGTTATTTCACATAACGACTTCCAACCTAAAACAAGAGCAACAGACAGACAACTTCTGCAGGCGAATTTCCAGTATCCTTAAAGGCCCGACGCACATCGAAGCCTATAAATACCGGCGTACACGATTCACGTTGACAGCTGACTTACTGTATCGCATAGCATACCGGAACGATAAAATGGTTACCCTGTTAGTCATCCCAAGATCAATGCAGAGAGAAGTTTTGCATAATGCACACGACGCAAATGGACATTTTGGAACTGAGAAAATGTATCACCAACTTCACGACAAATATTACTGGCCCGGCATGACGGACTCCATATCTGCATATATTAAACAATGTATTTCCTGTAATGTTAAAAAGCCTCCACCAGGCAAACCATCAGGTTTGATGCAACCGTTTCCCGTGGAAGGACCTTGGCACACCATCGGAATAGACTATCAAGGCCCGTATACAACATCCTCAAAGGGGAACCAATACGTTATAGTTGCAATCGACCACCTGTCCAAGTGGATAGAAACAAAAGCCGTAAGAAATGCCACAGCAGAGAACGCCGCTAAATTTATAATGGAGCAAATCATCCTACGTCATGGGGTACCAAAATACATCGTATCCGATCGAGGGAGACATTTTTGCAATGATCTTTTGTCACAGTTGACGAAGCTTCTAAACTGCAAACAACGGTTTACGACTTCATATCATCCACAAAGTAATGGAATGACAGAGCGAGCAAACAAGACTATTGCTGAATGTCTGTCGAAAACTGCGACGACCACAACAAATGGGATAACTACTTGCCCTTCGTAACACACTGCATTAATACAACCGTCAACGCCACTACAAAATACTCTCCATACGAACTCCTACATGGACGCCAAGCAACATCTGCCCTCGACACAGCATTAAACCAACCGGAAGCCATTCACGACCTTGACCATTACGTGAAAGAAACTACGGAGTATATAAAAGATGCACAGGAACTAGCCAAACTACGATGTATCGATGGAAACGAAAGAAATCAAGTACCGTATAACGAGAGGAGAGTAGCTGCGCAGTACGAACCAAATGACCTTGTGTACCGCTGGAACGTACCTCGGCTTGTTAACAAAGATGGCAAATTATCCCAGCCGACACTCGGCTTACCACCAAACTGCTTAAACATTGGCACGGACCGTATCGCGTAATCCGACAGTTGAACAACGTTAACTACGAAATTGAGAACATAAACGGAAAACGCAAGAAGGACGTTGTCCACGTTTCCCAACTGAAACCGTGGTACGACAAGTTAGATGAAGAGGAGAATATCCAACTCGCTAAAACGACTCCAAAAGAACAACATACAACAGAGAACAGAGACATTGGAAGCAACACCAAAACACCACACAGGGACAACAATGAGCCAAGATACAATTTACGTGAAAGAAAAACAAGACCAGTTTATAAATAATTTTCAATTATTTTTTCTTTAGAAGGGGAGTGTAACATGATTTATCATGTGTACATGCACAACGTATGTACTGGTCGTTGGCATAACAGTAACAGTGAGTTGTTACACAACTCACTGGCCAACAGAGTTGTTACACAATGCATAAGTGCCGGTTGGCGTTCGAGCCACAGTGCGTTGCTGTATAACGCACTGGCCAACAAAGGCATATTACGCAACACGGAAGTGCATCCGTTTGAATGTCATAACTTCTATTCACTATACGCCAATAACGTTGTGTAACTGGACGTTGTCTTGTCCATCTGTTCTCATATATAAGTCCTATGTTTTCAATACTAAAAAATCGTTGATAGTTTTAGTCAGTCTTAGATCAATAAAGACTTATACCATCTAGCCAGCTTTGAGTTACAGTTAGTAAGAACCTACGTTACACCAGCACAATAAACAGCGTAGCAAAAGAGACGCTTGATTAAGATACAGCCAGATCTCTAGATGCGGCGCCTTGAAGTTCAGCATGCAGTGTGTTATGGTTTCCGATTGCCGAAACAGAAGGGCATCAACAATCACTGCCGGTCCAACAAACAAATTAACGATTAACCAGCACAGACCACACAGTACCATGGCGACAAATGTCGTGTGGCGTTCACGATACTGCACCGGAATAAGCACCGCGCAACAGCGACACAGCGCGACAGTTGTATGGATAAAAAACTGGAACATCTGAATCACACCTCCGGAATAAATGCGCAATGTGCACCAATTCGAACCCCAGCACCATACAGCGATTATACGGTTCATCACTTCCCGCGGTCCAAAACACAAGGCATAAAGGAAATTGCCGCCGAGCAGCGCAAAGGCATAAACGTGAAAATGACTGATTATGCGGAAGTTGACGATGTAAACTAACAGTACCATTCCGTTTAGGACAAAAATTAAAGCACAAATGATCAGTACTGCCATACTATACGATGACCAGGTCAATGGATTGGCCATCGCAGCGCATACGTCAGCGGCATGTTGAGAAAAAGAACTGTTATTAATCGCTTTGTTCATAGTTGTATTAGCGCACCTCCATGGAAACGACAATTTTCTCCCCAAAAATTATGCTGAAAATTGCAGGTGTTTTCCAGAATAGAGGCGAAACCAAAAAGCGAAAATTAATGGGGCCATCCCGGTATTTAACGCAGCTGATGCAAATAATTCCGCTCTTCGAAAATCCGTTTTTTCTCGCAGCAAATGCAGTTTAAGATATTTTTCTGTTTCCCTCGAATCTGCAGACTAATAGATCGGCTGATTAAAAATTTCGGTGTGCAGGCAAAAGGCACTTCTACAAAATTATCAGGGTCTTTTTAGGTTAGTGTTCAGGCGCTATCGTAGTGTAGATAGAAACAGATTTATTTCGACTATAAAATAGATTACACACAGAGAAAATATTGTGTTGCAAACGTTTGTTGCAAATGACTAAGTCAGATGACATTCCAGTATTTGATAGGATTCTTAAAATGAACTTTAATGAGCTAACTGCCGTTTGGAGCGTGATGCCGGCGTAATTAGTGAATTAGTGCAGTAGAGTGCGCTAAGGCATTCGCCCCTATTAACTCATCTGAAATCTGATGTAGCCGTAGTGGACTTTGACCGAGTTGAATTCGTTGCACCCTTGCTAAGATTACGTAAATGCATCCGCTTCCAATCTTTGGCTTCCGGTTACGCAAAACATAGTACTCATATAATTCATAATGTGCCCGGTGTGTAACCTAATGTCGCTAGAGCGTTGTAATTTGCCAGGTAAAGCAAGTACCGCTACTTTAGCGATCGCATCCCCTCAGTTAGTCTCCGGTCACCCAGCCTCCTTACTTCCGGCTTTTGCACTAAATCACAACAAGGACAGTGTGAATACATATTGTGAACTACTTTTATTAATCTGTGTTTCGATTTCCCACGATAAGGACACCGATTCTCCCCAAACGAAAAGTTTGTTTCCAGTGTATTTGTACTCTTTATTACAACAACCATTAAAAATAATTTAAGGAGAGCGGCTATATTTATTTCTACTGAAGCGCCAAGGCAGCAATAGTGAATGCGAGGAACGCCTGTTTTTCTATACTTGTATCGGAGGGCCTTCTGACTTGGCAGAAAGACCAAGCAACCAACCAGTGTTGTTTTTGCGCAAAAAGTTCGGAATAATTCAAGAAAAATGGGAATTTCACTAACAAAAACTAGTCAGTGCACTTTCCATCTGTGTTTGAGCTGTACAGTGGTTCCCCTGTACTAACTTGCGGGGGCAGGGTTATCTTTACGTACACGTAAGGCAAAATCTAATGAAGATGAAGGAAAGCAGCGATGAAAGGAAGCGTTAGCACTGTCACTTCATAAATTAAAGTTGCAAAAGAAGTGTTGTCGCATAGCAACCATCGCAGATTACGCAGCAGTACAGAATTGTTGCTGATCATGATTGTTTGATGAAAAGCTTTTAATATTGCTTAATTAAAGGATTATTTTTGTTTACAGTACTGTAATATTGTTATTGTACGAACATGGTTCCTTCTGCATGCATCGCACGTTTTTATTTGACCGGAACTGTGGCCATCGCATTATGGACGGCGTGGCGCTCTAATAATCACCCATGAATTTATAGGAATATGCTAATTATATGACTACTTTAGAATGGTCTACATAATATGACTACATTATCATACTGTAGATCGTAAAACGCTAGCGTACTGCGTACAGTATGGACGCACCGAAAATATAGAGTATTGTGGATGTGCATCTGAGTGTGTTATTATACGCGTATATTATCTGAGCCATATGACCACCAGTATCTAGTGTCCGCTGCCCGCTTTCGTTGTGTAAGCTACCACCTCTTTGCTCAGTCACACTCTGTGAAGTTATACTATGAAGCTCACCAGCTCGCTGCTGCCAAGGCGTCTGGCTTACGGCAGATTATGCGGCTCACTTTTTGAATACTTTGACCGAAGTAAGTAAAAGTGCATTCAAAATGTTATGAGGGTATGCAAAATATTATCTGGCAAAATCACGGCTGATGCCTTTGAAATTTTATGATGACTTCAGGACAGTGCGCGTACCGTGCTGTTCTATGAACGTGCTAAGCAATGCCTGATTGCGAGTATAATTACACGATTCACATCTAAAATTGCGAGTATAATTATGTCCCAGTTTGACAGGCTCTATCATGATTCTATGCAAATCCCGTTTATAAAGTATAGGGTCTTGTCGTCTTGATAATTCGGAAAGCATTTTTTCGACAGGATCAGCGGCATTCAAGATGGGAATTCTATCAGCCATTTCCCTTGCCGGTTTTATTGCAGTGCTATATGTTTACGTTCTGAGCAGCCTGCCAATATTCGACATGCGTTTACGGCTTGGAAGAAGGGCTCTTAACCAACCCAGGCGCCAACATGTAATTTTATTTTGGACCAAGTTCTATGCGGACGATTTCGTACCGTCTTTGCGTTTGTACCAAGAAGCCGAATCAGGTATAGAAAGATGTCCGTATTCCAACTGTCTGGTCACAAGCGATCGCAGCCGGTATCTCGACAGCGCGGCGATTGTCTTTCACATCCGGGATTTCTATTGGGCAGATATTCCACCACACCGTCTGTTGCAGCAGTACTATTTATTTTACGGATTAGAATCACCGGTGCACACTATCGGCGATGTTGATCGGCTGCGTGATTTTTTCAATTTGACGTTTACGTATCGACTGGACTCGGATGTCGTCACGGATTCTTATTTCCAGCATTTTCATCCGAGTGTGCTGAATGATCAACAACTGGATGAGCTCTTAGCCAAAAAGACCGGATTCGCAGTGACTTTTGTTTCCAATTGCGGCTTGATTCCCAGTCGACGGGATGTTTATACGAAGGAGCTGGGAAGGCATGTCCAAGTGGATGTCTATGGCAAATGCGGAACCAAGCAGTGCAGCACAGATACGCCGGAAATATGTGATCAATTTGTTACTACTTATAAGTTCTACCTGGCCTTTGAAAACAGGTGAATATTTTGAAGAAAACTCGGTGTACAGATAATGTACAGATAAGTGGAATAACAAGATTTTATTGGTCTTTATGATTTTCAGATTATTTTCTTCTTTTCGTATTTCCTTTTAAGCATTAATTTTGTTAGTAATAATTTTATTATTAATTTAATCTATTATTTCAAGAATGAGTAAGTTAATTTAATGTTTTGGTATGTACCTTCGAAAATATGTAAGTTGCAATATGTAAATTAAATAAAGATGTAAGTTATATTTTAAAAAATTTCAAAGATGTTGTTATAAAACCAGGCCGACATATTGTGCGGCGTTCAGAATTTAGTTAGAAATCATTAGGAGCTGGGTCTTAGTGACGTACAGAGTGCAATACGTATATTTGTGGCTTTATTCATGAATATTTCGGTTTTTTTGGTATCGTGAACAATAATTATTCACTCTGATTTTAACTTTTAGTATCTGCAAGGATTATGTGACCGAAAAGATCCATCGCGCCTTTAACTACGGAGCGGTGCCGGTCGTTTACGGCGGCGCTAACTACTCGGCTATATTCCCCAAAAATTCCTTTATCAACGTTCTGGATTTTGCCAATCCCAAAGCTGTTGCCGATTATTTAACATTCCTGGATAAGAATCCCAGCGAATACCGGCGATACTTCCATTGGCGAATGAATCCAGCCACGTCACGACTGGCCGGCAATCTGACAGCCGATAACTTGTCATGGTGCAAAATCTGCCAGATTCTCAACACCCGTAAGCCACAGCGGAAGACTATTACGGATCTGGGACGGTGGTGGAGGGAATTAGGCTGGTGCCGCACTCCGAAGACGCAGAGTGATAAGTGGATTAAGAACCCGGCGATTCCTCACATGGAGCACATGCAATCAGAAACAACGGGATACCCTTAGGATCACGCCTTGACGTCACTGGCGTGGAATAAATGGGTCTCTCCTGGACTGGATATTTTACAGTCGCTTGTCAACATTAGGGTTTAAAGCACGCTACTCTGGGGCGCACTGTTTTCCGGGCGGAAGCGGCTACCATAAACCTTTTTCGATACAAATGCCTTTTTTAGAAGCGCCTGGTTTTTAAGGCTAGCGTACGGGTAGAATGACATAGATCGTCGTGCATACATGAAGGGTACAACCAGCGAAGCAAAGATGTAGCACAGGTGGCAGCCATAATACATGATTGTAAGACTGAGTACTTCTTGTCTGCCGAGATTTTACCTACTTGTCGTTGTGTGTGTGCAGAAAAATGTTGTGCCGAACAGTCTCCACTGACACGCCGTGTTTTCACCGGCAAACTCACGCTTCGCTTTTTCTCAGTGGTTCACGGCAGTACTTAATATGTTAATGTACACCGGTAACCCCACAATAAAAGCCCAACTAACATGCACTGGATGCCCAAACCGGTGCACCGGTGCAAAACAGCCTACAATCGTGCTAGAATACAAAGTATTTCAGCCAGTTCTCTTTCTGCCTTCGAGAATTTTGTGAATTGCTTAACTGCAAGATTTAATTTTTCGAAATTCGTTGGCTCATGCCTTTATTAAGTTAACGAACCGGAAAGATGTAATCCCTCCGTAATGCTATTCCAACAAAGATAATGCGTTCAAAATATTCGGAATCGATAATTTCGGTATACGTATAACGTATGTATGATCGGCATACCTGTTACGGTTCGCGTAATGTTTTATGTGGCCTCCACACCCTGACGGCCTCACCTATCGTGTACTATTAGTGGTTAACTTGGAAGCCATACCAAGGATATTTTATTGCAAACGTTATTGTTTTTCCTCAAAAACAACTTTAAAAAGGACTTACAGTTAAAAGATTAGGTTTTTACCGAAACGTATATAGAGATTGGAGTCATGGAATAATAAACATTAAGTTTACATTGCAGATAATATCGAGTAACTAAATACTTAATGTCCAGAATCTGCGATATACACTTCGCCTCTGTAGGGACTGTACCAGCATACTGTACAGGGCTATGGCAGATTCTATCGTCTCTGAGTAGTGCACGTTGCGGGCCATGATTCGGGCGTAACAATCGGTTTAAAACCGCGCAGAAAATGGCTGAAAAATCCTCTCAATCCAATTCGATATTGTTTCCCAATCAGAAAGAAGATTACCTGCGTATATAATACGGCACATCAAATCAGAAGCACACCCCGAAAACAAGCGCTTCTTTCGGAGAAAGACTTACCGGTGTTCCAAGATCGCCGCAACAATACAGCGCCCACATCCACAACTGTAGATGCGGATACGTGATATATACATGGTAATGCAAGGTCGAAAGAATAATATGCGGTAAATAGCACGTTAGATCCCACAATGATGACGCAATCAGCATTTGACCAATTAAAATGCGGCGTTCTAACTTCCACTGCAACGTTCGCTCCCCGGCGTCCCGGTATTCATGTCCGGTTGACTTTAACCAGAGCTGCGACAATAAGATCATCAAATAACAAAGGATAGTCCCAGAAATCGGAACATAAATGCTCAGTATTGGGCGGAGACGAAAGATTATCAAGTTCTTCAGCGTCGTGGGACGCATTGCGCAAACATTCCACGGTGGAGCCGGGTTTGTTTCCCAGCCGCTGTCCATCACGATCGGTAAGGAACATGCCAGCAGTATGACCCAACCAATCAACATCGTCGCTATGGTCACACGGCGTCGGTTGAAAACGGGATGGTGATGCGGAAAAACCACGGCAAAAAGCCGGTTAATTGACAGCATAAACGCTGCCCAGTGTCCGCTGCCGGAGAAGATGGTGTTGACGACGTAAACGTTGCGACAGTTAGTGGAAGAAAGAGTAAGAGAGGGAAAATAAATGGGCAGAAATACGGCCGGGTTCAGAACGGCCATAATGCCAAGGTCAGTGAGGAGCATATGGATGATCTGGATATGGGATTCCGATGGTTTGAAGCGACGGTGCAGTATGGCAATAATGAGGAGCACTATTAATAGCGATGTAAGGAAGGCGATCAGGATCATGACGATAAACCAGCTTGTCAGGAAAGTCGTGTTGGTTTCTGTTGTTGTGAAATTTAACGATGTATTCATGTCGATGTTTAAATGCAAAGTACGGCTTAAAAGGTGGAAATCGGTCTGTCGATTCACAGTTTGAAACTTTAAGGCTGTGAGTTACTTTCCCGCAGTGACTGCGGTAGGCATTTGGGAACCTGGATTATAAAATCTTAACACTTGATATTAAAATCAGCAAACAATGCGCAAGACGATCAAATAAATATGCGCATAATTAATCGGTAATGGGGTCGAACGAAGAAGTGCTTGTTTCTCCAAAATACATCACAGCGAGGCATCATTTTGTTTCTAGCCATAAAATTTAGAAGGAGAAAACATTTTCGTCTAAATAGAATGTAAGGTGAACATTCGTTTGGACCCAACATATTCCATGACTGTGGACTCTGATAGAGAATGGAGCCGGTAACGCGAAAAACTAATTTCACGCTACACTCCCGTCGTCCCGATAGGAGTTTGGCTTAATGAAACTCGCCTCTGCATGGCGTTCAATGGTTAATGAAACTCGCCTCTGCAAGCCTTTCCTCGTACCACATTGTGTTATTTACAATGACCTATTATTATTTCACACGCTGGGTTTCCAGTGAGCCGTCCCATAACCCCTCGGGAAATAACGCGTGAATGATGTTTTGTGAACTGTGGGAGATTATTAGGTTAACAACGTTGCCGTTGTACAAGATACGAGTATTTTCGTCGCTGCCCATTATTAATGATATTTTGCCATAGAAAACAGCCACACCCACAGCTTGCCTGTAATTTCACAGACACAGGCTGCCAGAGTTTTCTCAAGGTAGCTGCAAGGGTTGTGAACAAGTAAATGGTTGGCATAGGCGTCATGATAGCAAATATTGTGCTGTTGTAGAGAGTCGATCACGCTTAAGAAACTTGTATGCATTATCAGATTTTCACTACTAACGGCATTTCTTAATTATCAACATCAACTCCTCCGGCAGTAACTTTTGCGTGCGTTCATCTTCATTATTTTGACATACCTTACCTTACTACATAATATTTAGGGCATTTAAAGTTACGTAAGAACTTAAGATGTAAAAGTACGTAAGAACTTAGGATGTACAACGTTTTTAGTGAGACAACTGGTTTGTCCAGCACCGGCACTGCACCGGCGCTCACATACCTATGCATGTGTACTCTTAGTATGGCCTCACCCTCCAATGGCTGCAGTAATCTCTGATGAAATTACCGTAGATTACCGGTATGTATTCGGATATCTCGTAATACGCATTCACGGTCATCTATGCTGAGATAGTTTGTGAGCAGACATACAGGTCCGTGCCCTTTCACAGAAGTGGACAGTATAGCTAGGAGACATAGCAATAACAAACTCCTTCGGAACGCTTCCTACGGAAGCCTTACGCAGGCGCGTGGATTGGATAAGAATAAATGCGAAAAAAACTAAAATACTGCAGCCGTGCAAGAGAATTTGTTATTTGCGTAATGAAAATTTGAATTTCATGGATGCTAGTCAAATCGGAACAATGCGTTATCTGCGACTCTGTGTACGAGTTGTCCAATTCTAACGTGGAATTTCTAGAATTTGGGAATGTCTGAACTATTCTGATGTACAGCAATAAGTTTCCTTGACCTGCATTCCTTTTCATTTTATATTCTCCTGCTCAGCCTGGACACTGCATTCTTGTCCTGGGAAACGAGCAATTAAGTGTTCTAGTTCGATGATTTTTTTCTGAGCGCCGATACATAGAATGGAGAATGAGGGGAGTCATCCACTGATACTGTCGTATTACAATACGAATGCAAGCCAGCTGCCCTACGATTGTGTGATTACCGACAGTCTATAGTTCAGCTTTGCGATACATGTACACTGTACATGTATCGCAAAGATACAGTGTCATGTACAGTGTACTCTGTCGGATTCCCATTCGAAGAGATGCTGTACCAGTACATTGTACAGCATCTCTTCGAATGGGAATCCGACAGAGAATCGGCAACTGAACAGGCAGGATTGAGGCTAACCTTTAGTGTCCTTTACTTTCCATCTTTTCCCCGTTAGAGGATAGACAGACGCAAAAGCTCAGAACAGAGAGAATCATCCTGACCTTTCAGTAACCTTTCAGTTACACGTTGGATCCTATACTAATATAATATATAGACAGACTACGTCTGCCATATGTTATATTAGGCTTGCCCGTTTCAACCGTGCAGCGCCTGCGTAAAAATGTGTAATAACAGTAAATAACTCGCAACTGGCATCATTAGGCCAACACAACGCAGAAAAACATAACGTAAGAGTAGTATGCAGCAAGGGTTATTGGCAAATAATGGCGGCGAATGGAAACAGTATACAGTGCTGGAAGATACGTCTCCTGAAAGGAAGCCGTACGACGTACGAAGGGAAAGGGCTCCCGAATGGAAGCGGTAGTGTTTGAGCCATGTTTGACAATAAGTACTGTACTATTAATAGATGGCGTGGAGATGTTTACTGTATATGCGTAAACGAAAAGAAAACCGCACGCTTGTTCTGTACTGCCTTTATTCACGTGTTTGAAAAAAATCTAAAAAAAAAACAGCAGGAATCCTAAAATGTCTTATTTTATTGAAGCGTTAATAACATTGTCTAAACACAAAAAAAAAGAACTGCCATCAGAGAAAAACTAGTCCAACGTGATAACCTCAGGCACCCGGGCGTCCGTGTGTGAATCATCATCGTCTCCGTTGTAGCCGTCCTCATCGGAATCTCCCATGGCTTCACCTTTGAACCACCAATACATTACTCTCGTGCAGATTTAAGAATAATAATCAGTCGGCTCACCGCTGAGAAACCAAGAAATATCCTCGTCACTCTCCTCATCCTCGCTGTCCACATCATAAGCCGTGATTAAAAAACGTGTAACGTTCGGAAACTTATCAGCCAACCAGCGGTCGTGTCCGCGAATTTCACACAACTCGTTGCCTTCAACGTCCAATGCCCGCAGCTTTGGTAAAAGTGTCAGTGGCTCTAATTCGTCACGGAGACCGATTTTGTTACCGACAATGGAAAGCTTCTCCAAATTGGGGCAGCTCTGAGGCAGGATGCTCAGGTCATCAATATGGTTGTCTCCCAACATGAGGATGCGTAGGCATGGCAAACGCGGTAGGCCCTCCAACGACCACAGGTCGCAATCAATCAGGCTTAGCTTTTCTAAGCCTTGAAATTTCACAAACAGAGGAAGAACTGCTGGAGGCACGCGTTTTCCATCGAAAACCATTTCCGGCGTACTGGCACTAAGCTTTCCAAACAAATTACGGAAAGCGGCTTCCATGACCGAGCGAGAAACTGCAGACATTTCAGATTCAGAAAATATGTGATTATTTTTGTAGCAAAATAAAACACAACTGAAGGCTTGTTGAATGCTGCACATTTATGTAGCGGCAGTTGTCACTGTACTCGGTTACAATAATTCTTGCAAGTGATCATACTTGTAACCGAGTTCAGTTATCATACTGTTTGTTTGTTTTATAACTGTGGTCACCGTGTACAGTGATCATTACTTATAATCGCCTTCGATTACAACAGTTACATGTATAAAAGATCGATTGGTGGAGGTGCAGGTGTCAGTAGCGTTTAACGGATGTTTCAACAGTGTGTTTACTCGTATTGGATGGTCTTACCTCTCCTCAGAAAAGGTATGTCAGGATGTCGAGTTACGTAAGGTATTATTCCAGTGGTCACTCTGTACAATTTTTTCAATTCCTTCGGCGATAACGAAAACAGCAAAAACAATAAAAAATACCACGTAGAGAACAATCAGAAGCACCTTCTCGCATTTTTGCTCCAAGTTACGTGCATAGCACAGCATATGCTGTAAATTAGCCATGGTGCCAGCTTTTGTAAATTTATATGATACTGCATCGCTTAAATAGACTTTTATTGTAGATGAATGTTGAAGATCGCTTGCGAACTTTTGGCAACTGGCCTTTGGCATATATTTCTCCGTTGTCCTTGGCCGAAGCTGGTTATATCTACACGGGAGAAGGTGATGAAGTTAAATGTGTCACGTGCAATTGTGTGCATTTTGACTGGGCGATGGGAGACAAGCCTATCTTCGAACACCGCCGCGATAATCCGGAGTGCCCATATGCAGCAATGGTAGCGGACGGTGACGTCTATATACCGGCAATGGTAAATTACCGTGATCGGTTCGGCACTTTTGCGGAGTGGCCTGTGTACGCCCAGCAGCGGCCAAGAGACTTGGCAATGGCCGGTTTCTATTTCATGGAGGTTGCTGATCGAGTGCAGTGTTTTTGCTGTGGTCGAAAACTGGAAAAATGGACCCCGGACGACGACCCATGGATTGAACATGCTATTCATGAGCCTCGATGTGAATTTCTGATTGAAAAACAAGGACTGGAGTTTGTATATTATGTTCAGAGGTTTCACGATATGGACCACAGAAAGTGGGTGACTGGTCCACGAACCGATCGACGGGACTTCTTAACCGCCCATGCAGTAGAACTTGGATGCCATTACACGTATTTGATCAAGGCTCTGCTCCGTAATAAGACCGCGTGGCTCTATTTTGACTTGAAAGACTTGGTGGAGGCGGCAAACCGGATTAAGGAACGCATCACAGTGGCGAGACTGGATGGTAACTCTCAAGTAGATAAGGAATGCAGTGTATGTTTGGATAAAAGGTTTGCATGTGTTTTTTCCGTGTGGTCATGCCGTTTGTTGTACTGGTTGTTCGGAAAGACTGCGAGAATGTCCTGTTTGTCGCCAGCTAATTTTTGAAAAGGTTAAGCTTTTCTTTGCATAAATGTTTATTAAAGCTGTTCCGATGTTCTGTGTACTTTATGACATAAAAAAGAATGTTTAGCGTAATAAATGAGTATCCACGCTTTTGCGTACCTTTTGGTATGTGTGTTTGCGGGCCAACAATGTCGGGCAAAACACAATTTGTATTCACTCTCCTGAAAAACAGTGCTTTAGTTTTTGATCGGCGACCCACACGAATACTCTACTGCTACGGTCAGTGGCAGAAAGGTTTCGATGACTTACAAAAAGAGGTTTCGCAAGTCGAGTTCTTGCACGGTCTGGATGACCTGTTTTCAGAGCTGCACTCTGCCGATAGCGTTGACCATATACTGCTTATTATTGATGATTTGGCCACGGATTTGTGCAAGGATGTTCGATGTTCTGACTTGTTCACCCGCGGCATTCATCACAAGAATGTTTCAGTCATCATGATGCTGCAGAATCTCTATAAGCAAGGAAAGTCAATGCGGGACATCACGTTGAATTCACAGTACTTGATACTATTTAAGAACGTCCGCGATGTTAATCAGATCGCACTGCTGGCACGACAGACTGGACTGAAACATTTAGTGGATGCGTATAATAAAGTCACAGCGGAACCGTATCAACCTCTTGTACTGGATCTACGACCTACTTGCCCGGACTATTTAAGGATACGTTCTCATGTCCTACCGAATGATCAAATGCGGATATATCTAAACCGGAACGCTACCAATACTTTACCAAAATGTCCGAACGGGTGAAAGCTTTAGCACCATTCATTATTACGCTGCAACAGCTGAGACCAAAACAGCGGAAAGTGTTGGTTAGCTACCTCACCAAACCGCAGTTGAAAGCCCTCGAAGAAGTTGCTGTCAATATTGTGAAAAACACCGTCGACTTAACACCGGCACAGGCTGAAAAGTGTAAACGACACCGGAAAGCATTAAAGCTAATTGCTTTACAACGGTATCCCCTCAAGGAGAAGCGAAAAATTATTCAACAAGGAGGCTTCATCGGAGCCATATTACCAGTAATTGCAAGTGTTCTCACGTCTCTCATTGGAAATGGATGAATACTTCATTGTTCCGCGAAGAGTAATGGAGAACCGTATGCACCATCAGCTTCAGATTAATAAAGAACCACCGGAAGCACAAAGCGTAATAACACTAGACGCCCTGGTGGCTACAACGCTTCACCGAACCGATATAAGCGAGTACGAAAAAGCCAGCCAGTTGAGCAGTATACTGGAAAGGTTCCTGGCGTTGAAACAGAAAGCCATTCCAGATGAAAATCCAGTGGAACTAGCAACGGATGTGTCGTCCCAACCCCCACCACTAAGCACAGAGAAGCAGAAAAACGTACCATTTCAAAAAAAGAAAAAAACGGCAGAAGAGGGACAAACTCCGATCGAGAAGTACTCGGTCCCGGTGGATGTACCGATGAATGGACGGAAAAGAAACTTGCAAGACGAGTTTGAAGAAGAAACCGCACGAAAGGCGCCTCGACGGGCATTGTTTCCTGCGGTAACACCCACAAAAGGTTCAAAACGAAATCACCAGCAGAGCGAACCCGGAGACGAGCGGTCAATTAAAAAAGCTCGAGTTGCCCTTTTTCCTGCAACACTGCCCGAAAAAGGTCGGAAACGTTCTTTCCCTGGTGAACCTGAAGATATCCGCCTGGCAAAAACAGCACGAATCGGCTTGTTTCCATCAACCGTACCGCAAAAAGGTCGCAAGCGAAAAAACGAGGAGGCTGACAAACAACCCAAGCCACATAAATACCCCCGACGGCCGTTGTTCTCCATCTCGAGACCAGTGCGGGGAAAGAAAAGGAAAGCGGATGAAATCGAAGGCAACGTTAGAAAACTGCGTTTCCGCACCATTCAGAAAGGAACCGGAAAATCGAAACTGCCGTGGATCACCTTAACATAATGGCCGGTCTAATACCCAGCGTGTTACGGCTATGCCGAGTATTTAAGATCAGCTGCGTTTCTACTTGCTGTAATGATAATGGAGAAGCTGATGAAACGATATCTCGACCCGCGAAATCCCGGCGGTCTTGGAGGCATCGAAAGGTTCCGAAGAAGTTTAAAGACCAGAGCCAACAGACGGAAAGCACAAGAAATTCTGCAGGAGATCGATGCGTACACTGTGACCAAGGAAAATCGACGGCGCTTTGCACGCAACTGGATCGTAGTGACCAACCTTCGTCAGCAGTACCAAGCTGATCTGGCTGATTTATCAAAATATTCCAAAGAAAATGATGGGTACAAACACTTGCTGTTTGTAATTGACTGCTTCTCTAAAAAGCTAAGCATTCAACCAATGAAGTCTAAAACGGCCAACGAAACCAAGAATGCCTTGTCCAAGGCTTTTGAAGAATTGGGTGAGCCGGAAAAGCTGCAGTACGATAAAGGCAGCGAAGTCGTTAACGCAACGGTCAAGACCTTCTTGAAGGACAGGAAGATTCACTTTTTCACATCGGAAAACGAAGACATCAAATGCGCCATGGCTGAACGCGTCATTCGCACCATCAAAACAAGAATGTTTCGCTTGTTTCGTGCGCGAGTTTCGACCCGTTACATTGACAAACTGCAAGATCTGGTGTACTCGTATAACCACTCCAAACATCGAGCACATGGATTGCGACCGATAGATGTCACTCAGAACAATTCCTTGGCGGTATTCAATAAATTGTATCCAACCAGAGAAGTTCGACCACCTCGATTTAAGGTCGGTGATGCCGTCCGGATAGCCGTGCATAAAACCAAGGTCGAAAAAGGCTATACGTATCGATTTAAGGAGGAAGTATTCTACATCAATAAAGTCATTTCACATATCGTACCGGTATATCAACTAAAGGACTATCAAGACCAACCTATTCAAGGAACCTTTTATGAACACGAGCTCTCCAAAGTATCGCGTCCGGAACAGAAGGAATATACTATCGACCATATCATTAGACGCCGTGGTGACAGAGCACTAGTTCGGTGGTTAGGGTACGGACCTGAGCACGATTCCTGGATCAAGGCATCATCATGTACGAAGGAGCACCATTCTACGTGACGCTCCCGAGCGATGTGGCGACGGACCCGAGCAACACTCCTTCAAACTGGACGACCAAATTGAAACACCCCATTACCCTGAAGGGAAAATGGGAAATGGCCTTGGTTGAACTACAGTACCTCAATTCCTTTTTCACTCTTCCCGTGGAGCAGAAGATTGAAGTGCACATCGTTAAAGAATTCAGACTAAAGAAAGACGAAGCAAACTTTTTGGAGTCGGCGGACCAAGTTGTCCATACCGACGAGATTACCATCCCTCCTGGAAATTATAAAGATGCCGATTTGTTATTGAAGACCATCAATTCATTGGTACCCAAAGTTGGATCGTACATGGTGGACGAAACGGTGCACCCTGACAAGAGCGCTTTGACTGCCGACAGAGCCTTTACCGTTCAATTGCTGACCGCCACCAATCATCGGGTCCGACTAAACATTGGCAATGACCGGGTTTCCGTTGTCTTTCCCCCATCGTCGATAGTCCTACAAAAAATGCTGGGATTTGAACGTAGCGTATTAAAACCCGATGTACCGATGGAGAGTAACAGTAATGGTATGGTCGGTCCATTTCCTTTTGAAACAAAGAATGTCAGTATCCAGTACCTGTCATTTCTGGCCAAGCCTCCGAATCCAAAACTTACCAGCTTTATTTCGGAGCGACCGGTCAATACCCTACTGGGAAATCAAAGCCTGTTTGTCTACAGTGATGTGGCCGACTACAGCTTGATTGGCGATACTGCAGCGCAGTTTTTACGCTCCGTACCTATTAGAGGAGAAGTCAATCAAATTGTCGAGGCCAGATTCGACATTCCGCATTACGTCCCAGTACTACGCCAACATTTCGAAACGATAAAACTGACCATTGCCAACGATCTGGGAGACGACGCCAAGTTCCAAACGGGAAAGTCACTGGTGAAACTGCATTTCCGACCACAACGACTCTACTAGAATGCCTCTCGTGGCGTACGTGCCGGATCCCCGGCGATACGAGAACGTCTTTGTCAGTCAGACGGGTGGTAGCGCCCTGATCCGGTATCGAGGAACCCTACAAAACGGATCGGGGTTCCCGCAAATTTTAAAGAGCCTTTTCGCCAAGCTATCAGCCTTTGCTCAGCCTATACTACGGAAGGCTGCACCGCATGCCAAAGCCGCTCTGGAGGCGGCTACCCCTCACCTGCAAGAAGCGGCGACCGGGGCTATTAAAGAGGTAGCTTCGCGTGCGGGAACAGCCATTGGAAAACGTTTTGCTTCCCAAGAAGGCGAAGGTATCCGCAAGAAACGACGTATTCGACGTAAAGTTGTACGAGTTAAACGTATTCCTCCTACCAGCATCCCCGATTTTTTCTGAAAATGGCCATGCTGATGATGGAAAACTCGGAGCCGGCCATGCAACTAGAGAACCAGCTGTTTGCATTACCGGCTACTCTAACGGATAGGTGGCGCACTGAGCACGAAAAGCTCAATCCCACGACCATCTTAACGGACAACGGATCGGCCGGCGACATCAACTTTTTCATCCCACCCAGCACATCCGGACTACTCAGTTTAGCGGACATGATCCTGGAACTTGAAGTGGGTATTAAAGTCCGTAAGAGCACTGGGGAATGGGAACTGATTACAACGGCAGATGGTGTGGGACCGGTCAACAACATTCTGCACTCTATGTTCTCTTCATGCCATGTGACGGTGGCCAACCGGTTGATCTCGGATGCCGCCACGTTTTATCCGTACCGCGCCTACCTGGAATCTTTGCTGTCCCACTCCCTTGACGCTCAACAAAGCCAACTGACATCCGCCGGTTTCTATTACGACTCTCCGGGTTCTTTCAACAGTGAAACCGCGAACAATGGTGAAAAAAATCGAACGGCGTTATTTAATACTGGACAGTACGTTCAGCTTTCCGGCAAACTATTTTCGGACCTTTTTGACCAGAGCAAGCCACTGTGCACCGGGGTACCCGTCAACATTCGCCTAGTGGTTAGTCGACCGGAGTTTGCCTTACGTGTATGGGACACGGATACCACCAAGACATTCAAACCGTTTATCCGTAACGCACGTCTATCGGTTCGCCGATACATTCCGTCTCCGGATTTTCTGACCGCTGTAGCCGGAGAACTCCTGAAAAAAACGGTCAAATACCATATCGAACGCGTGGTTATGCGCGTGTCGGACATTCCCCAGCGAACCCAAAGCACCGTGGTCAGCAATTTGCAGATTGGCCAAATTCCCAAAGTCGTCTTTATTGGTTTTGTGGACAGCGAAGACTTTCACGGATCGCAAAAGAAAAATCCTTTCAACTTTCAACACTTCAATATTACACAAATCAGCGTCGAAGTGGACGGTCAGAGTTACCCTACGAAACCGTACACTGCCGATTTCGACCGCAAGTTGTCTCTGGAGTGCTACGACGGGCTGTTGGACACTTTGGGACATCGTCCAAGCTTGCAAGGCGGCTTACCGTTTAACCGGACCCAGTATAACGACGGCTATACCATTTTCGGTTTTGACCTGACTCCAGGACATACCGGACGCGGACCACTGACGCTAATCAAACAGGGAAACCTAAGTGTGTCCGTGTCCTTTGGTAAACCACTGAAAAGTACCATTATGATGGTGTGCATGCTGATCTATGACAGCATCATTGAAATCAATCAGCACCGTCAGTTAATTGCTGACTTTACAACATGAACACACAAGAAATTACCTCGGCCCTCCACGGGAATCCCCAGACCACAGCGGTATTTCGTGGGGTCTACGCGAGTGATCAAGTTCCAACCACTCTGGCACCTTTCCCGGGAGCGTGTGTGGTAAATACAGACCCCGCCGACCAGGAAGGTGAGCACTGGATCGCGCTGTACCAGGAACAAGCTGGAAAAATGGAAATGTTTGATTCATACGGGAGAACTTTGGAACGCTACTCTCAGCATTTCGCGTCACTGGCGGCTGTCAATGAAATAACTCTACAAAATGAACAGTTTCAGTCTGAATTCAGTACTGTATGTGGACAGTACTGTTTGTTTTTTATTTTACGACGCTGTGGTGGTGAATCATACACAAATATTGTGCATTTGTTTACGGATAGCCGACTAAGCAACGATAAAATGGTGTGTCAGTATGTCAATTCTTTTTTCGACATAAATACAAACATGATTGATGGGGCTCTGCTTTGGCAAATATGCAAGCGTTTATTGAAATAAAAATATGAAAACAAGTAGTGCCGGTTTATATTGCTAACCAATTTAACACGTCAACAATTATCCGCTGCAATAGTGCGCCCAACATTTCCACGAATACGATTCTCATGCAACATTAAATAAGACTCCACATCCATTTCCAGAGCTTGCTCAATTCCCAGCTTTTCTAACCCAAACAAGATACCATGCACAATGCGCAGTTCCAATAGACGTTCTTTAGCTCCGTTCCATTCAGCATCCGATGGGCGGTAATTTTCGGTGTAATTCTTCGGTCCAGTCCCGTCGTCCATCAGTTTTACCAGTGGAACCAAGGCATCAGCTATGTTTTCATCCAGTTCAGTGTACGCTAAACCTTCCAAAATCGGATCCTCAGTGCCACTTTCCTTCTGAATCTTGGCAATGTCTTTAATCAACTGCAGATCCTTCAGCAGTTCCTTCAGTCCGTCATAACAGCGCTCACCGAACGAAATACCGTAACGGGTCGGGACCATGTCGCCAGCTTTCACATTGAATCGACGAATCGTAGCCACGTTTGCGTTGCTGAAACGACTCCAACCAAAATACATACTTCCATCTAGTAAGTACAATGGTGTCAACCTCCCTGTTTCTGCTGAACTGGCGCGGGCAGTCTCGTCCATGTCGGATTTTCCAGTCAGCATAAGAGCCGCCAAACGGAGAAATCCTTTCTTGGAGAGCACAATGTTTTTCCCCCAAGTCGCTTTCCAGGAGTTATCAGGCTGTTCTTTCCATTCCCCGAAAACAACGCGAATCGTACTTTTCTTTGCGTCCGTATTCGTACCAACATACACGAACTTGTCGTTGCCCAGTCGATAAACCGGCTTGCCGTTCTGTGTAAAAGCAAAGCGTGGATGCGTTGGCGTACCTTCTATTAGTGCGCCACCTTTAGCTTTCTTTGCTTCCGGGTTGGTATCGTCTTCGGCTCCTGGGCGTTTTCGCTTTGTAAATCCTCCTTGCGGTCGTTTTTGTGCCAACAAGTCAAGAAACTCCATGGTTTATACAATATCTAGATAAAACAAAATTCAACAAAACTAAACTCTGCACGGTCTTAGTGTGAGCGGTACCGTTTATATACAATTCATTTACGACCGCAACTTATGACACACCGTTTACTTCCACGGTTACAGTAATCCCACTCGATTACAACGATCTAAACGTGCAGTACACCACAGCTTAGTCCACAATTGTGATCGTACACGATTACAGTCACTTTTGTAAGGTTATAATCCTGTTCGGTGATAATCACCGTATTCGGTTACAGCACTATAATGGTGTACGATTACAGTAATTCTGGTCGGTTACACAATCGTAACTCTGCACGATTACAATCATCTTGCACGGTTGCAACCAGTTCAGTTCGATTCTATATAAATTACAATACTCGAAAGGTCACCGTTTAGAAATTCTTTTTTTTTTGCAACATTTTCTCTATATTTGAGAAAAAAATGGCAGTGCCCTGCATTCTTGACGCAGATTGGTTTGTCATCAACGGTAAAAAGTATATTAAACAACTGGCATTTTACTGTCCGGAAAAATCGGAACAGAATTTATATACCTTTACGTTACCGCGTTGTGCCAGCCAATACAAATTCGACCTCACACGACAAGCTCGCCATTCACACGGTCTGTTGTGGTATACCGAAGGAGATTACCGTTGCAACCAAGTGAGTTGCGCCGTTGAAGACATATTTAAAAGAATTGGACGTCCTAGCAGAATACGATTCCTTGCAAAAGGGCAAGAAAAGTGCCGGTTGCTGGAACAATTTGTACCGGAAGTAAAAAACCTGGAAACCTTTGGCTGTCCACCGTTTCATAAGTTGACATCACTACCCGTTTCTACACTCCGTAAAGCCGTACGTTTCGCGTTGTGGTATCATTGCGATGCCCAGAATCACCAATGTAGTTGCCGTTGCGGATTTAAACACTACCCTGGACCTTCGGAAAATTGAGAAGCTTTTACCAATGGCTCAATATATTCCTGAGACATTCTCGGGTTTGCTGGTACGCCGCCTGTTACCATTCAAAGCACACTGCCAGTTATATCGAAACGGTAAAATAACTGTTAATGGAGCGCGGACCGAAACGGAAGCCCAAGAATTGGTAACTTATTTTGCAAATCTTCTTTCGGATATAGGAATTTTTTATACCGTTACCGATTACCGAATTGTGAATGTCATTGGGAACCATGCTTTCTCACAGCGCGTGCACATTGAAAAATTCAGTGCTTTTTTCAGTTTAGAATATACGCCTGAGTTGTTTAGTGGTTTAGCGATTAAATTGAGCACTGGTCGAGCGGTGTTATTTTCCTCTGGTAAATGCAATTTTCTCGGTTTAAAAACAACGGAGCAATTGTGCGCAGCCGTTCAACAAATTCAGATAATGCTTGATGAATTTAATAAATCACTGGTTTAAACCAACTTGTAACCAAATGGTACTGTATTAAACTGTTCATCAATAACACGACGTTTATCATAAGTTACTTGAAATCGTTTCACTGCACTTGCGTTACGAATGCTCAAACTCGATTTGACCCTTTGAAGAATATCAGGATACTGTACATCGACTACGTTGCGGTTTTCCAGCATGTCCAGCATCGTTGTATAGTTGATCTGCTCGCTAGTGCGTCCGTTTATGGTGAAACCTTTAACTTTGACAACGCTGGCCCCATCGTTGGTAACGTAGGCATAGGTTTTGGCTCCCAGACTGACAAACTGTGTTATGTATTGTCCTGGCTTCAATTCGTTTGTTAAATCACCGAGAAAAATTCCGGTAGGAGGATCAACAGCTCCCGGACGAGTCACAAAAAATATTGAGTCTGCAAAAAAAAACAACCGTAAAAAAAAAAAGCAAACTAGCATGAAAAACCTTTGTAACCAACCGGTATCAAAATACAGCAGTCGACCTTCAACCATCTCCATAAACTTCAGTAAATGTAGTCGCGCCCAGCAGGTAGTAAATCTGAAATATTTATCTGAGCCACGATATATGGTTATTATTCATCAACGTAGAGCACTTACGCTGCAAGAATGACGTTCGTATTAGGATTACGGTCGACAAATCCGGGTTCGGTTGTGTACGTAATTTGAACAATTTCTTCCGTGAATAAATCCCAAGAATTCACGTGGTGCTTTCCCGACAATAGCATACTGTAAAACTTTTCAGGTTCACTGATATACATGGTGTTCAATTTGTTGTCCTGCATTCCCAGGCGGCCCCAAAAACTGCAAAAAAAAAAAAGTAGAATCTATAATTATTAAAAAAATATCAATAAAGGTTTTTTACCTGTTCAAACACAGCTTGGCTAGTGCCCTTAAACCTGGATTCGAATTTATTTTTTCATAGTCCAAATCAACGTTTTCGTGTTCTTTAAAATCCGCAATGTACTTTTGTTTCTGCGCTTCCGTCTGAATTTCTGCGGGCCATCCACTGGACTCCGTTTTGATTTTAAGGAACTGATTAATATAACCTTCGAACAGTCGGTCTTCATGCTTGTCAAAGTGCCAGACTTCAAAGATTTTGACTACGCCATATCCACAGTCAAGCGCTTTCAAAATTTCCGGCGTGCACCAGGTACCAGTAATGGCACGTTCACAATCCGCATGTTCGCATTTGGTGTTAAGATGTTTCTCCATGCACGTTCGGCACAAAGGGAATGTCAGTTTGCCGCCACAGCGGTAAGGTAAAACCGGATAGGCCAGATTCCCAGGTGGAAGCATTTCACACACCACCACTCCAAAGTAGTTTCGAATATCGAGGAAATTCTTAGTTATGATAATGGGATGACCAACAGGATACCGCTTGTTTTTGTTGACGAACGGGTACTCGCTGTTGACATCGTAATAACGGATTTGTTCGTCACCGTCTACTTTGTGGAGAAGTTTAACCGCATTCGTTCGACCACCATAGAAAGCGTTGCGCGGGTCCAATCGGTCCATGAACTGCAGGCGGGAGACAAAAGCTTTCATTTCAGGATTTGATTTCAGTTCTTCATCAAACTCATGCTCCCAAATGCAAGTCAGATTGTATCCTTGTCCTCGAATGTACTCCTCGCGATCGAGCGTCTCTTTATGAATTTCGGACATTGGTATGTCACGGAAAGGGTGCAGGGTTGTTGGGGCGACGCATTTTGGGCAGCCATGAAACCTGCAGCCGTAAAATTCATAAACCATGTGAATATCATCTCTGTAACCGTCGACATGGTATGGTCCAATGTTGTGCTCGGAACCGTTGATGACCGATTGGATCTCACAATTTCCGTCCTCTTCCATCCAGGACAGCCATTTCTTGGCCTTTACTGACTGGTGGCGATTTCTTGCGTTTAAACCGTGTGGTAACAGTCCAATCTGTTCTGGTTTCAGCATGAATGTGCGCCAGTACTTGTTGCACAAACCGGCAATTGTTAAGGACGAGACGAAGGGGCACAGCCCTTTGCTTATTCCTTGAAACAGTTTTCTAAACTGCTGGCAACATAACCGTAAAACAGTAACGTCCATCTTGCAGTACTGTACGAATTCTTGACGGAAATCAAAAATGTTGTTCTTCTCCATTTTTTCTTTTTCATACCATTCTCGGAATGAGTCTTTGGACTTGGTATTCATTCCTTGATAACCGTACTCATCCATCGACGGAAAGGGAACAACTTGATCCCAGTTTTCTTTGCGGTTGAAGCGATGTGGGAAAGTCCCTTTGCTGATGTCTGGTAACCCAAAAGTTGCCGGCCATTTTGCGAGGCTCTGAGGATTGTAATTAATGCTGTCCCGGAAACGTATATTCAGCAAAGGTACATCCAGCTGTAGAATTTTGCCACCATTGAGAATGACTTTTGGAACCACTCCATTTTTTAGTAGCCAGTTGAGTATGAAATAGCCATCGAACGACTGGAAAGAAAAATGTGACAATTAAAACGCGAAATTTGAGTACATGCTATTTTACTAACTTTAAAATTATGGGCAATGATGAAGTGATCTCTGTGCTCTTCGTTGAACAAGAAGGTACATAATGCATCAGTCACATCCCCGCCCAAAGGTGCGTCTTCCGCCGGAAACACCCATTCGTTACCGTCATCATCCTGTACCACCTGCAACAACACCGGACGATCTCAAGCCTATAGTAATTTTAAAAAAACAAATAATTTACCGCCAAATTAGGAACTAAATCGTTGTTCTCTCCGACATAAGTCTCGAAGTCGAAGTATAAAAAGCTGGCGTTTTCGTTCAGCTCCAGTTCTTCCGCATTGACTTGATGTGGTCTCATAAAGCAGTGATGTGAGTCGGGTAGAGCATGCACTTTACACGTCTTGCAGAAAATCTCACCACACTGATGAGTGTTACCGTTTTTCCTTCGCTTCATTGAGACAATCCGTAAACAATCTTTACAGATTTGGATCAAGCTGCAAATGCTCCTTCGTTTTGGCCGCCCTTTCATTGGTCCAATCTTATGGTGAGCGTAGCAGTCCGGTCCGAAAAAGGCACGGTTGCAGTCGTTGCAGTGCACCATAGAACATGGATCAGACGGACAAGATGACCTCAAACAGCACTTGCACATATTGGAACAGCGATGATCAGCGCGTTCCGAATAACCCTTATTACACGCGTAGCACCAATACTTTTTTCTAAAAAAGGCTGCTAAAGATTTTAACACGTCAAAGTGATGATCGTGATGCAGCAAAATGATTTGCTTGGGTTGAACTTTTCCGCTGAACACTATGAGGTTTGCATGATCCACACTGACCACGATGATCTGATACTGAGGAAGAATTTCTTGGAATTTATGAAGGTGCCGAAGGTTAAATTCCTGTTCTTTAAATCCCGCTCGGGTGATGAGAAACTGGGCTTCCTTGGTCTGCAATCTTTTACCACGTATAAGCTTCCGGTACAAGCTTTTGTTTCCGTCGGCATGCGCTTTTCCAACAACAAGGGCACGGGCCAGGCAGATTTTATCCGTATTTTTAATAACAACCACTGATTTCATTTTTTCCAACCTTCGGCGTAGAAGCTGCGGCACGTCTCGGTTGCAGCTACCTTTTGGAATGTTGGTGTATTGCAATGAAATTTCGAAGGAATCGTCGATAACAAATTCTTCGTACGAATTCAGTACGCGCGCAACCTCTGCCATCCATCGTGCTACCGTTAGCTGCGACCGTGCAATAGGTGGCGTCCATATTGGTCGATTCAGAGATCCAGAATCAAGTCGCATTCTTACCATTTCATCTGGTCCCACGTCTTCCAAAAGAGTGTCTAATATATGCTCCAAAATAAGCGTTATTACAACTGGTACTTCCGAAAACGGCACTTTTTCTAATTCAGAAACTTTTACAGAAAAGCATTTGAAATGCAGTCGGTATTTATGGGAGAATTTTTCACCGGTACACTCGATGCGTGTGAAATCTTCAATGTTATACGGTAGACTGTTATCAGCCATGGTGGTGTAAATTTATTCGTCTAAACTTTTTCCGTTACTTCATGCGGTAGTTATTATATAGCGGGTGTTGTAACCGACTTCGATGACAGCTGTGATCGAGCTCGGTAATGTTTTGTTAACTTTTAAATTAATTGTAACTGACGTCGGTGATAATTGTTGTAAATGAGGTTGATGATGCCGCTTTAATTGTAATCCGTGTCGGTAATAACTGCAATTTTTCTGCGATATTATTTATTATAAGTGCGGGTCGTAATACTATAAATAAATTTTTACATAATTCTTGTTTTTAAAATGGTGCGATAAGCGGTAATGTTTTAACGGAACTCGTGTGCTTGAGGCAGCTAAATCTATGATGGTTAAAAATCGCTTTTTTATTCAGATTTCCATATAGTTAAGCCGACACCGATGCCAAAAAAATATAAGTAAAGTCACACTGTTATCAATGGTGGATATTCAACGCCATCGGGCACAAGAATCTGCAACAGGTCTCGTTGTTCAGCTAGCGATTTAACAGCAGCTTCGTTAATATTCATGCAATTAACATAAGTATTTGTTGTAGTAATTCGAGTCAATGTAACATACACCGTGTGACCTTTAATGCTACGCACCGAACCATTGGCAAATTTTCGGTACCAAATTAACAAAGTGCGACTAATTCGACGGTATGGCACTGTTGGTACTGCAAGCCTTTTGCATTCATTAGCAGCGTTACCGCTGTCCTGATCCCATCCTCCGTCCAAGATGTACTTTAAAACCGTCTGAAACTCATCGCGTGTCACTTCCAAGCTGCCCGGTTTTGTCAAGAACACGAGCACAACATGTGTAAACCACCCATTCCACTCTTTGTCGCTGCTAAAATACATCAGCAGATTTTCGGCCCTAATATCCCATGGAATAGACCGAAGAGCGGCAGGCAAATTCTTATGGGTCGTGGTTTTTCGATTTGTTCGCACCCACACCGCCGGCAACGGATGCAACAGCGATAAGGCAACCGCCTCTGATACCCAGTCGCTGCTTCCGGAAGCTAGTGGGACCGCAGCCCGCCCTTCATCCACAAGGGTTACGGTGGCCGGTTCGTTGAAGTTATAGCATACCGCGGTTTGGTCTGGAAACATTTTCTCAGTTAGGCACTATTTAAAGGCGAACTAACTGAAATACGTACTGTCGGTACATGGATTCTGTGCATCCGTCCACTTCATACCCTGTGGAGCAATTGGCACACCTTGTAGCCCTTTTTTTAAAAAAAAAAAATGAAAATTAAAAACGGCTCTTTTATTTTTTTATTAGAACAAATTAGGCAGCATCGTACCCGTGTCAACGGTGTTGCATGCTTGCATTTGAGGAAAATCGAACGCAGTTCCTGTAATATCGTTTGGTGAACATTAAACAGATTTCAGGTCTATAGCTTCTAACCTTGACCGTATTGCATCAAATCTTCTTGGGAATCAGCCTGCATGATTTCGGGATACTCCAAGTAAATTGGGTACCGATCTGTAAGCAAGAATGTCACCAATGAAATATTCTAAAAACGTAAATATTATTTAATTGTTTATTTAACTTTTTTTTTTTGCTTACCTTCCAAAGAAGCGTAATTTGCAGCTAGTTGATTGGAATCTAAAACCATGTAAAATTCGAATGATTTTCACTTTTGTTTGTCCGTGTGATCGATACCTTGTGTGACTTGAGCTGTTGGGACGGTTTGTTCTGATGTACTTTCCAAAACGCGAGCTGAGCCTACTGCAGGAGCTTGAGGGACATTGAGCTCGGTCATCACCTCATCCAACCAGCCGTAGTCGATTGTGTAGGACGATGTTCCAGGCTGAGACGTAGACTGTCCACCTGCAGCATTATTGGAAACCGTCTGTTGACCGTTTATCTCACGAAGCCATTCATCAATCCATGCAAATTCATCCGTCGCTGCAGCAGGAGGAAGCGGACAATTACCACTGGCGGACTGCAGCTGCGGACTAATCACGTCATAGAAAGGCGTCAGCATTTCGTCGTACGTGTAATCCATAGTTATACAGGTTTAAAAAATTATGAAAGTCACAAGTAATCCCTAGAGCCCTTTTAAAGGAGAACCCACTGCTTGGTTTTTACTTGGTGTAATCGTTTTCGATTACACACAGCGCAAAAGGTCACGAGAATTTCCGTACTACTTTCATAGCAACAGTTGTACAATCACCGAGCTCGGTGACGATGACCGAGGTCAGTGATAAGGGCCTACGGATACTAAAATTGATTACACGCTTTTTTTAGTACAATGTTTTGTTTGTTAGCATTTAAGCAATTACTGTTTAAGATGTTTCTTCTTATTTCCTTTCCGATTTTGGTTTTGCACAGTGCAGGTGTTCTGGCTATGGACCGCCGACCAAGCCAGTTCTGTGGCCGTGGTAGCACCGGCAATCGTAGGACGGCGACCACTACCGTCAATCTTCCGTCTCCTTATTACGTGCGCTCTCCGTCGGTAGCACCGCATCGCCCAACTATGAATCTGTTCCCTCCAATCTTTCCTGGCACTCATTATCATGCTCAGTCTGCCGTATCTGCATTACGCTTCCGTTTACCCGAATTTGCTAACTCTATACCACGGGTATCTACGCCTATTGTGGCTACTACTATGTCGCAACCACCCCCTGGGCTGGCTGCGTTAGTTGCCGCTGCGATGGAAGAATATTCCCCTGTTTCTCACCCTAATCCAGCTTCCCCAACCTCTTACGTGTCACGCCTTTTTCAGGACACTCCAGAATCCCCCGCCCCTGATGAAGACAACAACGTGACCCTGTATTACCACTCTACTCAACCGCAAAATCACTACGGTACAACAACAGTGGGTTCGCGCCATGGTGACATGGAAGGCCAATTGCTGGTAATTCTACAACAAATGGAACGCGTTCTTAACGGTCCAATAGAGGTTGCATCCGCTGGCTTCAGTGAATTACGTGGTAAGTGGTACATCACAACAAGGTTTTTCAATTTTTTCGAAAACATTCTTACGCTATTGTGATGTAAAGAAAACGGACGCTTGATACACACATGATTAATGCGCGATTTCATTTTTCCTGGTAGCAATTAATCGCGCTTCATTTACTGCATTATGTGTTGTTGCTCGTAGATCTTATCACCGAATATTCATATTACCATCACAGGATGGCTACGTATCATCGAAGCATGCCATACAATAACAGGACGTTCTATTCACTGTTTGTAAATAACCTTACCCGTCTGCAGTGATCCACCAAAAATACCATGCGGTTTCAGTATTTGATATGTTCACATTTTACTGCACACGTTGTATTATCTGTACAGTATGTATGTGTTGTATACCGAATAAGTACTGTAGCAGTACGTTAGGGTTTTTTTCTTCATGCTGGGTTCTGTCACAATATAATTCAAGAAAGGTCACTGTTTTTACGCTGAGAACTGGTGGCGTTGCTACGTAACATGAAAAGCTGAAGACCGTATTAAGACGACATTTCAATACCGAGTTACAAACTTTAGTCTTTACAACAAATCTTAAGAATATCAGCCATTCTTTCCATAAAAAATCTTGAATTTGTTTTGCGTTTTCTCATCAGCACAATGCCGCGCAAGTTCGCATGTTTCACAAACGGTTATTTTGGTAATCAGAAGTGCTTAGAAGTTTTTAATAACAAAGAGGATGCCTGTCATCATTTGTTCGCAAAAAATCCAACAACGTGCTGTACTAATATCGCTGCCGCAGTTAAAACAGCGATTGAAGATTGCAGCCCCACGCCCGCCGAATTTAAAGCAAATGAAAGCGATTGCATTATGTTGGTCGAAAACTTTAAACCCGTTTTACCTCTGTACTCAGACCACGTTAATGACCTATTGCGTTGTATCGTCCGCGGCACGGGGTTTCAGAAGCGGGCGGTGATTTTCGACCTGCATGGGATGCAATTTCTGGGCTCATACAAGGATATGCGGAACCTTGGTGAGATCATTGGTGAACCACACTTGTCGAACTCTGCTGCGTTTCAACAAATCATAGCTGCCGATCTTGTGGTGATTCCTTTTTGCCACACCTACAAAGGATCGGATAAGCACATGACTTTGGCTGTCGTTACTGGTGGTTGTAAGTTAAAAACACCTAAAGGTCATTAATGTAACATCCTATAAATTAACCGCTTACATATGTATTAATATTGAGCACGGCTTCAAGCGTTACTCGTGACCTTTTAATGTTCGCTGTATTTACGAATGCTCAATTTGTCAACATGCTTGTACATACGTGTTAAGGAAAGTACGTGGCCATCTGTGCTCTGTTTACGCACTCACAGCTTGTTTTGTCCGTGTTTAGCTGTCTACCACTTCGATTCTAGTGGAGAAGAGTTTAAAGAGCCGTGGCTCCAGTTCGTTGACTGCCTGGAGGCTTTACCTGGGAACAACTGTTTTCGTGGGGCATTGCAGGACTGGCGTAATCCAGTACAGATGTTCCACGAGAACATCCAGACAAAGGTACCGTAGTTTTCATGGTTTTGGTAAAGTTAAACTATGAAATTCTCACTCGTACTATTAACAGATAATTTTATAGTACACGCACGTGGAATGCTAACGTTTTAATTTTTGGTGATATCACACTGACCTTTACATTAACTCCGGATTTGTAGGTTGTAACGCTGGAATTAGCTTGTGGTGTCATCGTTATATACCTAGCGTCGGCGGTGGTGAAAGCATTTTGTCTGTGGAAATTACGCGGATCCGATTGCGTAGACAGTGCAGTGAGGCAGTTCCATAATTTGTGGAAGCGCATGCAGCTTGCAGAACAAGACCACGATGACGAAGAAAAGCCGAAATCCCTTCATGAAGAACTGGTAGCTGGTGCGGGTTTGGGTGTTTTCCGTAATGAGTGGAGCGTGGCGCGTTATAAAGGTACATCATGATTTCATATGTTTACTGTACTGCTCCTTTGCACTTGTCCAGACTCTTGTACGGTATTATCTTAATCCACTGCAGGCAAGTGCGAGCTAAACTGATCATGTTCAGTCAGCTGCCTGTATTTCGTACGTGGTTGCTGCAGCTTTCTTTTTTTTTAAGATTGGGCGAAAAAGTTGGTATGGCCAGCAAAACGCCCACTGCGCATCCTGGACGTGGTATATTTTGCCGGAAAATGGTTCTACAAACTAGAACACTACGCCAATGAACCCGACTACGAGTACTGGGCGCCTGAGGATTGCGTGCCACCCCGTTTGTTTACACAGTTGCTTAAATTTCGATAAATTAAGTTTTGTTTTTGATTTGTGGTTTTGCGTTTTTTAACTGATTTTCCGGGCTACAGAGTCGAAGTTTTTTTGCGAAGAATATTCAGTTAATCTAGCTACTGACCTCATTAGTCATACACCATAGACGAACTACATAAAACAAAATCATTTATTAAAAAAAAAACATGGCTCAAACATTACCGCTTCCATTCGGGAGCCCTTTCCCTTCGTACGTCGTACGGCTTCCTTTCAGGAGACGTATCTTCCAGCACTGTATACTGTTTCCATTCGCCGCCATTATTTGCCAATAACCCTTGCTGCATACTACTCGTAAGAGAGCAATATTATAACAAATGTTATAATTAAACTTAAAAATACGATTAAAACATATCAAAATTGTCGTCCAGGGACAAGGAATGCAGTACTGGTTGACTTGTGCGGAGAAAATACGTGCAGTTCACGTAGGAATTAATGCGTTCAAGAACTAATTAGTACTATACTACGGCTTTCCTAGCTACAGCCGGAAACACGCCGCGACGAGGGCGACACGGTGCATCAGCGGGACATGCCGCAACAGCGCTGCTCTACTAGCTCCCTAAGCACGTGTCTACTGGTACCGCTTAACCGTGCGGAGGCAGGATAAGTAAGAATCCACTTCCGGTTTGTGTGTGTGTCATTGTTGGCGAATGATTGCTGCCACGCGGAAATATTCTGCTCACTTGTCAGCCAAACGGTCTGCGTGCACACTTGCAGTCATTTATGGTTAGTAATTGATTTTCCCAATTATCGTTGGCATAGTTTGTGTCAGAACTTAATAACATTCTACCATGCATGCAGTCAGTGGTATCAAGGATGTACCTGCATTTTCAGCCCGGATCCGTGCACTGCGCGTCTGCATAGCAGGTTTCGGTTCCCGTCAAAGTACGATGTAGGAACATGCCATGTGGGCGGATTATTGATTTTCTCTGGGGATAAACACATTCGGAATGCACACTGCTTTCATACAGTAGATATTTGTGTCTATGTTGCCGTAGGCCTAATCCTTTTTCGCGTCGCTCCACGTTCAGTGTCATTACGACTGACAATTAATAAAGTACGGGGACCGTTCAGTATATTTTTGCGAGGTGAGGTCATCTCATGGGGATTATCCTTGTAAGCGTCCTTATCAAGGAACAGGAGCTAGCTTTATGTCGACGACCCTACGTGGAAAGCCTTTTAAACCATTATATTTGTCAGACTATTATTATTATGCAAGTGAACGATTCGTACGTTTTCTGGTAGGGCTAACCGCGCAATGTCCGACATGTTTAAATAGTAAGTTGGACACAGGTCTGAAGTATGTCGCACGTATAACCGCGAGTAGCATCAGCCGCTCGCCTTGAAGCTGCTCTGGTACCATCACCTCCCTAAAGTCCCTGGGAGACAAGTAAATGTCGACGAGCACTAGGAGCTGAATTGCGGTCATAATCATGATTTTCCATCCGTACCGGTATGATGCGGAGTTTTGGGCTCCACCTGATTTGCCCATACAAGAGCCGATTGCCGGAAGGTCTTCCTCCTTAGCCAGCACTTTGAGGTCCATGTCCATCACTCCCTCTCCCGTGCGGGAACAACCACTAATTGTACAGGAGCCTACAAAAGATTTCAAGCACACATACTATTCTTTGACACTGAACTTCTCACTGGCGAATCTTGTAGTCGGCGTATTAGCAGCGTGCTTGTCCATTATTTCTAAAGGTACGTAAGCGTATACGCCGTTTAACGCTTGTTCCTTGTACAACTGGCGCTTCTGTCCAGTGAGCACTCGAGCACAATGATTTTAAGTTGCAAAATATTTGTTAAACTCAGGATAACGTTAGGCATTACCGAATGGTTTGAGACAGTTTTCCGTTTCCTCTACATATGTAGTATTGCGTGCACCTCAAATGCTTTTTCACTTTTACGCTTAGATTTACCAGGCGACTTTACAACGGGACACATCCTCGATACCTGGACGGCTCTCCTGAATATCTGTGGAGTGCTGTACAGTATGATCTGGAAGAAAGCGTTAACAAGGAAAACCCTTCGCGTATGGGATCCTAATTCCCCGTCCATCCAAGAAACAGCGGGTTTGAAGTCCTTTACAACTTTCGGGTGTGGCTTGCTTCTAAGCGTCATCCTGGCGCTGGGTGCCATTATCCAAGGCGTACAAGATGGTGGCAAGGAAAGGGCGGCTGTGCTAATCATGATAGGAGATCTGAATCTCGCGGTGGCAGCGACCTGCTTGCTGCTGATCAGGGTAGCTCGAAAACGGGGCCGAGTTCCGCACACTTTTACGGAATGGTGCGTAGGGACGGACATCAGTCTCGGAAATACGAAGGTCAATAAAGTTCATATTTGGATCGTATTGTCCTGTGCCATTCAGCTGTTGTTTATTCTGCTGCCATTGCCGTTCATCATTTCTAATTATATCGAAGGTATAGAAACCGTACTAACACATCTATTTATGAACTTTTTTTAGATATATGAACGAAGGGCGTTGCCGTTTGTTAAACATACTGAATAAAGTTACTATAAATTATGTATTTCCATACTGTTTGTATGCAGTACGTAAAGCTAATAAAATTCACGCAACTTCACCAGCATATTGAAAATCCTTGTTCCAAGCGATAAAAGTTATTCAGGCTAAACAGTGACAATCATTTTGCAGTTATCCGGGAAACTGGGAGAACTGTTTATTTCGGGATGCTTGCACGGGTATTTAAAGTTTTGACCTGCATTTTGGGCTTGCTCGGTTTATTTCACGGAGAAGAACCTGCCACCCAGGCATCGTCCTCGCGTCAGTCTTCCCGGCTTACCAACTCAAAGCGGGAGGAGAAATTCATTGGAATGTACCTGGGCGGCACGATGGCAAACGTACTGTTCAGTGTGTGTGCCATCGTTGAAGCAGCTGTAGACATACCGCCTGGGTCCCCGAAAAACAAATGGATTGTTGTCGACGAAGGATTCTTCCTGGCCTTGCAGGCGCTGCTGGCCATACCCGGTCTTGTGTTGTGGTTATGTACTGAATCAGCGATAGAAACCGAAGCCACAATTCCGCTGAGTACGCCGCCACCCGTGGAAACCGCAACCGACACCGACACTGCTCCTGTCGAGGCAGTGGACAATTGTTTGCCACCCACCGCAAGGGGACCCGATGAAGCGCTGACGTATCAGTGGTCTCATCCGCCGGCTTACGAAGACACATTACAACGGGAATCGGAGCTTCCTCCTTCGTATGCGGAAGTTATAGAGACAACCGTAGCCCGATTCCAGCCCGGTTTCATAGTTTTGCCTTTTTCGGAATTAACATTTCAGACCAGAATCGTTTAAAACTGTGCTGTGTGCGTTGTTTAGCTCCTAAGGATAAAGTTAGCAGATCTGTTTGCTAAAAAACTCGCAGAAACGTCGCTTTGACCATCGTTGAAGTAATTAGTTTTTAAGTACGAGTAGTATTGTGTACGGTTTATTGTACCATGCAGGATAAATTTGTTCATAGGCGTCATTTGAACGTTTTCGGTGAATCCACCCATAAAACTATTGTAGTACTACCCCACAAAAACAAGTATCACGTTGCTACCGAAAATTACTTGGTTTATGGTACCAAATTCACATAATAATAACCACCTCTGACTTCAATGAAGTCACTTCGTTAGATGCATACTTCTATAATTACGTATAGTCAATTATTAAGTACGTACTAATGTGGGCTAGGCAGCTGTGGGGGCATGCACCGTACTCATTATATCGCGTGTGCCCATAGCCAAAAATCAATACTTGCTCATATTCACCATATCATAATGGCTCGGCGTCAGGTTTAGATTATTGACGCATTTTGTACGATTCTTTGAACGCGTAGCGTAAATCGCATGCCCCTTGTAACACTTAACTCTAACGGTGGGTGAATTTTCCGTCACTGCACTGCGAGATTCGCACGGACCAATAATGTGATGTACTCTGTAACTCTACTTTATTCATCAACGATCACAACAGGCAGTATGTGGTTCCTTGCATTTTGACAGGTTAGATTAAAGTGGAAACTCGGACGACTGCTCTTTCTTCTGGTTTATTCTGAGTACCAGATTGTATGAGCCGATCGAAGGTGTAAGCTTGTATCCTTCGTGTACTGCGACATAACACGCAAATACGCAGCATTATTCAGCTCTACTCTTTGCTTGGGTTTCTACTAGCCCCCTGCATTAACAATGGTCTTATCCCTAGACCAAATCAGCGACAAGATCGTGCCATGGCATTCGATGTACTATGCTTTAGTATGTTATTTCTCCATGCTGCAATTGCTTCTGGCGGCAATGTCAATTCCAGTTTGGGTACCGATGTTTTTCCCGGAAGGTTCGTACTTGCACAGTAGCTTTCCGTGCTTTCCGTGGGCACATTTGGTTTTTTTTAAAAATTTGATTTGCCTTGTGAAATCCGAAAAACATCATTTATATTTTTGACATTACAGTACGTCACAAGATTCAAGAAAAATTATTTTTAGATCGTCTCAGTGTGACAAACAGGCAGTCACTGTCTGTATGTAAGCGTCGCCAGAAAACCTGCTCTTGTATCCAAGCTATTATATGCTGACCAAACGACAATTTAGTGATAATTTTAATGTACAGTAAGTCTTTTAAATTCAATAAAAACATTCCGCTCTGCAAGACAGCAGTTGAAAATCAGTGAAGACTGAAGTTACTAAGCCATAATAATATTATCAGTGCATGAGCCTTAACCCTGACGATACAGCCTTTAAAGGCTGTATCGTCAGGCCGGATTAAATTTAATCCAGCCAAGCTATTAGTGCAGTTTAGGCGTCATGGAACACGGAAGTTGACTGTTCTTTTTTTGCAGCCGACACAGTGCACAGCCATCTGGCAGTGGGATACGTCTTCTACATGTGGATCGTCCTGTATAATTTTGCTGGGATTGTCACCGGCTGCTGTTACAATGGAAAGCACACCGAAGACCTGGAGCAGACTGGCCGTCACAGGGCACCGGGGTTTGGGCTGGCTCAGGCCTATTTAGTTTGCATGGTCACCAGCGTGCTGTTGGCACTGGGGACCATTCTGCAAATCGCTCTGCAAAGCGGACTGACACCTATGCTGGACTTGGCGGCCGTGGCGTATGCCTTTCTCATTCTGAACGTCGTACTGATTGTGTTCACCGTCATTTCACTGAAGAAGGGCCGCCTGCCGGCCGCCGTTGTTTGCTGTTTGCAACGCTATGATGAGGAAGAGAGTGTGTGTACGGAGTGTATGAAGGATTATTACGATTGGACGGTGATCCAGGCGTGTATTAAGCTGCCGTGGGGATTATTTACACTGCCGTGGATGATCCTGGGTAGTATTAACGGTAAGTACGAGTGCAAGAACTTAAAGACTACTCTTCTAAATAAATAATCAGAGATTAAATACAGTAGAAACGCAATGATACACACTCCCTTCCGACAAACCCAGGGGCTCCCTGGCATCCCCATGAGGGCTGGAGTAGGGGCCTGCATTTAAGTTACTTTATATAAGCAACATTATAAGAATCGCGAAGCAGAAAATTTCCGCGTGTACCTAGCGGCTAGCGTCCACTATTTTTCTGAAATAACGCATGGAATAAGATTTTCCTGGGGTTTTGGCTACAGCTCTCGCTTTAATAACGATAGGAAAGGAACGAGCATTATATGTTGTCCCGGAACGGGTGAAATATTCATAATCGGAAACTATTTATCACCAGCTATTGACAGAAAAGGGAATAAGACGGATGTAGTGTATTAGACCACGTGTATTACAAGAAGATACCAGTATGTACTGTACACAGGTCCGTACCGATTCTCGCAAAATGAACCGGTTATTAGTGTTGATACTTTTCTAGACCGGGCTACCACTGGCGAAACCATCGTTTTTGGGACGATTACCGCGGCATGGATGGTCCTCTACAACGTAATCGGACTTCTCGGATTGGCAGCAACGACTCAGCCATCTCCGCCGTCTCCAACGCCAACACGCATCTTCGGTACCATGCGCGGATTTAATTTCTTCGCGATCTATACAGTTTTGATGTTGTGGAGTGCAGGAATGGCTGCGTCTGCCGTCCTCGAAGGGCGCAACCTAGATGCCGAAAAAACGGACTTGATATCAGCAGATACGAAAGAAAAACTGATGGGTCTCATGAACCTCCTTGTAGAGCTTGTGTTTGCCATGATATCGTACTGTATGGGCGCGTATGAGCCACTGAAGCGTACCAAAAAAGCATCCCGTGATGATATCGTGGAGACTGTTCCTCAACACGCTGAACCATGCACTCCGGATATAAATTCAACCGATGCGCCAGCTACCGTGGCACTGCGTACTCCGAATGCAAATGCCATCGATGTACCACCTGCATATCATGAAGTTGTGTCGCGAAATGAACCGGATGTCCCTCCGTCCTACGCACAAGTGACAAATATTTCCAATGATGACCACCATAGCGGCAGGATCGTTTCCCGGTGTCCGTTTTCCAGCTGGCACGAAGAGCGAGACTCTATCATTTAAAAGAAGCGTTCTGGAAAATATAATGTCGTCCCATCCGGCTGTTTAAACTAACCGATTATTTTTCTGCAAAAATTATGTTTTTTTATCCTTTTAACCGCTCGGCACTTTTATCCCAAAGCAGCATACTCTGTAACTTTTTATTGTACAATTTTTTACACATGAACTGTAGAACTAGAAAAAGTGGAACTACCGTAGAAAACATTTTTTAAACGAATATTGCCCAAATAAGTAATTCTTGGTTCGATTCAGTTCTTGCGGCTTATGCGCATGGAATGTCTATTTCGCTGCAGGCTGTTTATTGATTTTTTATTGCAGTTTTCTACCGCTATCTGACTGGCCAATTCCCTGTTTTTCTTTCTACTCGTAATTCGTAGAGGCCTTCAAGGGCCACCTATGTCAGGTGAATGGGCGGCAAGCCATCAAGTGCACAGGCCTGAATTGCTTAACTCTGGAACCGATCTCCTTCAACATTTTTTTTGTTTCTGTATGTTAGGCACAAACTCACTCTTTATAAAGTACAGAGTACTTAATAATTTTTTAACAGGTTGAACAATTGTTTAGCTATTTACGTCGTAAAAAACCGGTGACCAAAGTTGACACGAAGCACTTAAGCCATGCCACGCGAGCCATTGTCATAGCCGAGTAATACAAAAAATAATTCTGTATCTGCTGTACCGCCAAAGCGCCAACGGATACATACCGGATATTGTAATCCCACGTTGGTTGTAAATTTTGTAATGTCCTTGGTGGCAAAATCAGCTTCCCAGATCTCCCATATCACCATTTTGGCCAACAGCTTATCGTTTTAGAAATAGTGGCGGGGGACACCGGAGAATGTCCGGAGGCTACACTTTTGCCTGAGATGATGTTCACAAGTGCACACTACATTGTGTTCCGCCAGGTTTAAATTCCCATGCTGTTTGTGTACGTAAACCACAGCAGCTTTATGGGCTACTTGTACTGTGATGAAAACTATTCAACTACTCTACGTACTCTAGATATGCAGTATGCACTGGCTAATCTGATCCACAGTCCACACCTCATACTATTTCTTTTAACAAAAAACCGCGCTTTTGAAAGAAATAGGCAACGTTTTATTGGTATCGTTGGAGTATATTATAGTATTGTTTTATTAGTATCGTTGCGCTATCAACGGTACAGAAATCACTCGCATATGCAGTCTGAAAAATGCAAACAATAGTATTGTCATGCTATTGGTGTTCGTTTAATACTCGTACATAACCCTCACTTTGTTGAATAAGCAAATGATTTTTCAATGATTCTTGATTTTGGTGATTCTACGTAATTTGGGGAAATACTACAAATCCGAAGGGGTCTATGCAACCGAGCACTCAGCACTGCGCTGCAGTGTTGGAGGACGTGCTGAAGGAAAGCTGCATGGTGTGTACCAGCTTGAATGTTATCGAATGTCAGGTCGCGAGAATAATCCAAACTGAGAACACTGGACATGTCCGCATAATTAAGGAGTGAAGGCGGTCACGAATATCATTTTGACGTTCCGGATCCCGGCAAAATGCTGTTTTTCCATCACCAGATTCCGGCAGGCTTCTAATTTCAGCGCTATTAAATTCATCACGGTTCCGGCAGCGTGGATCTTTACTGTAATGTCCAGCGTCACGCAGCGGCTAACCCCAGCTCAACTAACTGTTGACGCATGGGGTTCAAGACGTCAGAATGAACAGTCTGCATCGGGTCTTCCGAATCGGCACCTTCTTTCAGCATGAGCACCACGGTTCCTGTAGCCCTGCTGAAATTCTCGCCTGTTGTCCGAGATAGTACAGCAATTCCACAATGTCGCTGTTTCTCCCAGCAGTGTGGTTCTCTCGCCAAATGCAGGAAGCGTGCGGTCCGACGGTTGGGATGATCACGTTACTCCAATCTCGGTTGTCTGTGTCATGATTCATGATGGAGAACTGTCGTACAGTAAACGGGAAAAAATCATAAGCTGGCGTATTATTTTACCGGTTTGTAAGCAGTCAACATGGGACTCTTCGAAAATACCAGTAACGCTTACCAGTTGTACCTGTAGCTGGAGTTACATACAACAATCCAGTGTCGTGCATCGCGGTACCCCATTGAAATACAAAATGCCGGTACTTTTCGTGGATGATTGTTGTGACGGAAATGTACAGAGTTGCAGACATTACAACAGGCCGCTCACGTGGCGCATTCTACGTTGGCGCGCTGTGTAGTCAAATTACTTCGGACTACCCAGCGGCTATGACGGCAAGCAGCGCACTCACACGTGCGAAATTCAAAGATCGTGCGAAATTCAGTTCAAAGGGCAAACGTTATCATCGTTATGATACTGATGAATTTTTTGACTTCGTGCGACAGGACCGTGCCATTGTACAGAAGTGGCAAGTAAGCAAAGCTACACAGGGAAAAGTGCAACAGAAAAACAAAATAATATGTAAGTACTGTGTTGCTGACTCAACTTGGCACTTTTTCGTACAGGGAGTTATATACGGATATCATAATATAACTCACTGAACGAAAAAGTGCTAAGTTAGGTCGACAACACAGTAGCGAACTGACAGTATTATGAAAACTGAACGCGGAAAAACGTAACATAAGAGAACAAAAGCAAAACGTAACATAAGACAGCAATATTTAAAAAGGGTCATCCAGGAAAAGGATTGGAGCAATGGCGGCAAACAAACGGTAATATTCTGCTCAGCCAAACGGTCTGTGTACACAATTGCAGTCATTTATGACGAGTAATTGATTTTTCAAATTATCAGTTGCACAGTTCATGTCAGAACTCCATAACACTCTTCCATGCATACGGCCAGCGGAATCCGGGATGCGCCTCTTTCAGCCGGGATCCGTGCACTGCGCATCTATAACAGGTTTTCGATTCCCGTCAGACTACGGTGTAGGTACATGCAATGTGGACGGATTATTGATTTTCTCTGAGCTCAAACACATTCGGAATGTGCATGTTTCCATAGAAGTATAGTAAACAATAGACATTCGTTCTGTTTGCCAAATTGCCGCCGTATGGTATCGATACGACTGACAATCAATAACGTATGGAGACTGTTCAGTATTTTCTGGGTTCAGCCTTGTAAGCGTCCTTATCAATGAACAGGAGGAGCTAGCTTTGTATCAACAACGCTACGTGTGAAGTCTTTTTAAACTATTAATTTTTTTCAGACCACACACTATTATCACTGTGTTAGTGAGCGTCACTGAGCGATTCGTTCGTTTCCAGTGGAAATATCGCGCAAGGTCTGACGTGTTTAACTAGTTCTTTGTGCGCAAGCTTGAAGTTACGCCGTATATCGTATACCGTATATTCTCGAGTAGAGCCAGCCGATCGTTGCTCCGGTACCATCAACTACCTTCGCCAAATACTTGAACGCATAATATCCATGGGAAACGAGTAAATTTCGAAGAGCACTGGAAGCTGAATCCCGGCCTTAATTATGATTTTCCGTGCTTATCAGGAAGAAGCGTCGTCGTGGACTCCATCTGATTTACCGATGCAAGAGGCGACTGCTGGAAGGTCTTCGTCTTTAGCTTGCTTTGCGTCCATAGTCGCCCCCATCGTGCGGGAAGAACCGCGATCTGTACAGGACGCTGCATTCGATTTCAAGCGAACGTTCTATGCTTTGACACTAAACTTTTCACTGGCAAATATTGCAGGCGGCATACTAGCAGCGACCTTGTCAATTATTGCTAAAGGTACGTAATGCATAAACACCGATTAACGCTGGTGTTCTTTGGACAGCGGGTGCTTTTGAACACGACACGCGAGTATAATAATTTTTAAATGCGGAGTGTTTACAAAACTAAGGGATTAGCATTGCCCTGATTGAGAAATAAGCAAGAATTAATCAAGCATCAAACCTTTTCTAACAAATGAGCAGGAAATAATAAGGAATAAACGAATTAACGTCGGTTAAGCACTGCCGAGCGGTTTAAGGCAATGTTTCGTCTCCGAATAATACTACGTGCAGCATGTATGCTTTAGTTTGTTCGACTCATTTAGATTTACCCGGCGACTTCACCATGGCATACATCCTCCATGCATGGACGATTCTCTATAGTACCTGTGGAACGCTGTATAGTCTACGCACAAAAAGGGTGCTGTTACGAAAGCCCCTTCGCGTTTGCGAACCGAATTCCCGGTCAATCTCTGCAACAGCGGGTCTTGAATCCTTTACAGCTTTCGTGTATGGCTTGCTAATAAGGCGCCATTATCCAAGGTGTTTTCCTGGGTGGAAAGGAAAGGGCGGCGGTGCTAATCGTGATAGGCGATATAATTCTCGCGGTGGCAGCGACCTGCTTGCTGCTGATGGAGACAGCCCGAAGAACAACTTTACTGAATGGTGCGTAGGAACGGACATCTGTCCCGGACATACGAAGGCCAGCAAAGCTCGTATTTGGGTCGTTTTGTCGTGTGGCATTCAGCTGCTGTTTATACTACCATTGCCGTTCACCATTTCCAGTATTATTTATTAATACGGGTTCCATACCTTCGATATAACATACCTCGATGTGTCTCTTATTCCTAACGCTTGCACTGTGTGGATCAACATTTCTGACTGACACCCATCTGATGGGTGTCAGAAATGTACGTTGTCTCTACGCTCCGGTCCGGTGCGTAGAGAAGACATTATGCACGGTGGTGGTACATATGCACGGTGGTGTCTGTAACCGGATGCTCACATGCATGGTGGCCGTATGTACTTCGCACATGGATTCAGCTCGCAGATCTTTAAACTGTACATAAAATTTAGTCTGCCGTTCCATGATTGGTGTACATTATACTTGTAGAGGAGTGAACGTTATAAAGAGAACTGCCCCTGCGTTATCATATGCCGGACAATCCGATTCCAGACGTGTGCACATAATAAGTGGGTGAACGTTATAAAAGGGCGTACATTACGAGGGGTTTCAGTGTACAGCTTGTATACGGTAGGTACAGATAGATGGAAGTAGACGTGAATACTTATTCTTGCAGGTATTCCAGGTCGCATAGACGTCGGTCATAGACCTATAAGAAGAAATAGCACCTGTACATCGTGAATGTGTAATGACAAAATGACCACAACACGTTCGTCGATGACAAATCCTATACTTTTAGCTGATTTGATTCCATGAGATACAAATCATCCAGGCTAAATAGTGACAGTCATTTCGCAGTTATCCACGGAACAAAGAAATGTACGTTGTCTCTACGCTCCGGTCCGTGTTTTCGGGATGATTGCATCCCGAAAC